CTTGTGAAGGATGAGCTGAATAATATTTTTTTTTTATCTTAAGATTAAAATTTTAAATACCCGATCGTCATTTTATTAGCATTAATCTAGTAACTTTATAAAGAAGAGAGCTTGTGAAGGCTGAGCTGAATAAGATAATTTAGTTTTTTTGTCTTAAATTTTTAATTTAAAAATACCTGATTGTCATTTTCATTAGCATTTATCTAGTAACTATATAAAGTGTGCTTTTGAAGGATGAACCCAATAAGATTATTTTTTTTGTCTTAAAATTTTAAAATACCTGATTGTGAATTTTTTTTAGCTTTTATCTAGTAACTATATAAAGTGTGCTTGTGAAGCTGAGCCTAATAAGATTATTTATTTCTTTGTCTTAAAATTTAATTTTAAAATACCTGATTATCATTTTTATAAGCATTTATCTAGTAACTTTATAAAAAAGTGTGCTTGTGAAGCTGAGCCTAATAAGATTATTTATTTCTTTGTCTTAAAATTTAATTTTAAAATACCTGATTGTCATTTTTATAAGCATTTATCTAGTAACTTTATAAAGAAGTGTGCTTGTGAAGCTGAGCCTAATAAGATTATTTATGTCTTTTTCTTAAAATTTAATTTTTAAATTACCTGCTTATCATTTTTATAAGCATTTATCTATAAACTTTATAAAGAAGAGCTTGTGAAGGCTGAGCCCTCCACCCTGCTGCTTTGTCTGGCTGCAATACTCCCTCTCCACCACTAGATGTCCTCGAAGGGGCGGTTAATTTCTCCGAGGCAGATCAATCGGCAGCTCCGACCGAGGAGCATCATGGAGGAAACGGAACAAGGCTGGCTAAAGAAGACATAAGTGATACATTTTTGTCACCGTGGAACCGCAACCCCACGGCGGGACCGCGGCCCCGGAGCGCCGAGAACCACATTTTCGGAACCCCCGACGCTTCGCCTCGCATCCAGACCGCGTTTTTCCGCCGCCTCGGCTCACGGATGGCGCTCTTTTTACATTAGTAATAATGGCGGATATGAATTAGCCTAGCTCCCAGGATCTGACCCTATATATATAACTGGACAAAAACTACAGACACGCTCTTTCTCCAGGTATTCTCCGAGACCCCGAATTTAACACTCGATTTAACAGGCGGATACTTGGATTTTCTCCCTCGTTTTCTCCTTACCCTGGTTCCCAGAAGTTCCCGGAATGTGCTGATGGACATTGGGTTTGTAAGACATTCCCAAAGACATTGTAAATTAAAGAAATAAAAATGACCCGAAATTCAGTGAAGCGTCTGTCTCTCACTTTTTGTTTACAACAGCGGCACCGGCAAATATGGCCGTCACTTTGTATTGACACCCACAGAGCTTTCTTCCAATGCGGCTTTATCAAGAAAACGACTTAAAAACGGGATTTCCACCATGAAGCAGAGAAATTCACCCCTCCTCCCCCCATTTAACCACATTTATCACTAAGTTCACTCCTGCTCACACTTTGAAGACTTTAATCACAATTAACCCCTGAAGTGATTACACCTTAAATTTCACTTTTTTTCCCAACATTATAAAAATACTCTTAATTTGATTTTTAAATATCTAATCTTAGTTTAAACTTTTTTTTTTTTTAATTCTATCAGGAAATTAATTAAACTTTAAAAGGAAAGCAGATAGATACCAGATTTTGATTGTGGAGGAGTATCCATGGTGGCCCCTCTCTCTCTCTCTCTCTCTCCCTCTGAAATAATGGGACTTCTCTCCAATGCCTTTTATATCCCAGGGGTCCCTCAGGGGCCACATGGTCCCAATGTTTGACCCTGCCAGGCCCCTACAGGGCAGCACGCATTTTAATCATTTAAATAAACTCATTTACTGCAGAAGCTTGGAATCAGGATGGAAATTACATTTCCTGCTATTTTATTAGTTCATTAATCCAAATATTACTCTGTTTTATACAGTTATGCTGTTTTAGTTTATTAAGTATAAGTGCACAAAAATGCATTTATAAAGAAATGCATTTATTAAATGTACAGAAAATGTATTTATAAAGAAAAAAATATATAATTAGAATATTTTAATTTTTCTAATTTATGCAACAACCACAGATTTCAATGCATTTAGTGCAATAATTGAGAAGTTATGAGACAACAATGGGGAACCCTTTTATAGATAACCTTAAAATCAAATGCAACTAATGACCTTTAAGACAGGAACTTACTTACTGGCACACTTTTGTGT